ACATTTATCTCGAGAAAATATTATAGGCTCAACCTCGTGTATATATCGTTCGAGGAAGGTATGTTCATAAATAAATAAATTCAATCTCGAAAACCGTTACATCGAGAGTTATATCGTAATCATTAAGAATATTAATGCATGATCTCAAATATATAACCTTTACTCATAGGCCAAAATATATTTTCTAGGCACTATACTCATGAGTTTTAATTAATTTTAACCAGATTGTTATCTCGGCAAAAATATTTGCATCCACTCTAGTCAATTTAAGAACATCTTGACGAGGAATATCTTTCACATCGTCGTTATAGACATAACCCCATATAGGGGTGAGAACGAGCCGAGCTCGCCTCTTTTGGCTGGCTCGAGCTCGAGCTCGAGTTTATTTTGTCGAGCTCGAGCTCGTCGAGTTCCTATTTTTTTGGCTCGAGCTCGAGCTCGTGTCAATTTTGTCGAGCTCGAGCTCGTGTCAATTTTGTCGAGCTCGAGCCCATTGTCTTTTTTCTTTTTCTTTTTTTTTTTTATAATTTTTTTTAATTATTATTTTACTATTAAAAATTATTTAAAAAAATAAAAAATAAAAACTAAATTGTAATTATATATATTTTAATATTTGTATTTATTTCTACAATATTTTATATTATTATACATTATTTAAATAAAAATAACATATAAAAAATAATAAATAATAAAAAAATAATAATAAATCCGGCTCGCGAGCTCATGAACAACTGAAAACCGGCTCGAGCTCGGCCCGTCAGAAAGCTCGAGCTCGAAAATCTCGAGTCCGAGTTTGAGCTTTTTACGAGCCGGCTCGTCGAGCTCACGAGTCGGCTCGGCTCGTTTACACCCCTAACCCCATATTTAATTTTATTTTAATAGCCTCATTGGCCTTTGAGGGGAATCACAACTTTTAGTGACTCTACGAGCATCACACGTGGAGTTATATTTATGATTTCTATATCGGCCATTATCGGGGACTACGACGTCCACCATCTCTACGAACATTATGTTCGGAGTAAGTATAGAAGCCATATAAATCGACCCTTAATTTAGACTCCTATGCGACAGAGTCATTTTCATTTCTATTATCTAAATCAGCCCATTTCCTTTTGCTAATTTAAACAAGATTATTAAATAAATAAATCGAAACTTGCACATGCTAATTACAAGTTTCTAAATTTAGAAAATCAAAATCATGTAATGCAAGTTGAAAATTCATAGCCGAGGCAAGAGATAATAACTTTTTTTTCTCATAATTATAGATATATATCCTTCCTTTTCTCCGAAAACCGGTGGCGTATAAATACTGTAGTATTCGCTTCACTATTTGATATCGAGGATCTGGATTTTATCAAATAAAATAAAATAACATAAACAAACTTACATAACCTACCCTTTTTTTCGAGCAGAACCTCGTGCTGATAACGTGTTGTGAAATAATTCCCATTAGCTAATGTATTAAATATTTTATTAGAAATACTAATTGTGTGAATATTATTAATTAAAACAAGTTACTAATGTTGGATCTTTTATATATATATATATATATATATATATATATATATATATATATATATATATATATATATATATTTGTGTATATACGTTTAAAGTATATATGTATATATATACACGCTATATAATATAATATAATATAATATAATATACAATATAATATAGTATATTTCTATAGAGAGAGAGAGTGTGTACGTGTGAGTGTGATAAGAGAGAGAGTGCATGTGTGAGGAGAGAGAGAGTAGAGAGAGCGAGAGATTGCAGTCAAAAAGTTATATTATATTATATTATATTATTCATTAAATTGTACATCTATTTATACATACAAAGTGATGAGTCATCACTAACACTTGTCAACATCTCATCTAACATTGTTGGAAATAGCTACACATGTCCTAAGTCCTAACACTTGTCAAGGGAATAATAATCCATTTGCTAAAGCACACAATATTATAATACTCCCCCTTGGACGTAGCACCATTGTATCGACTGAATTTGGATGGATGATGCCGGAGAATTTACATCAAAAACTTTTGATGATTATTGTGCAGCACTGGGAATTAATGTCGAGCACCCAGTACCATACGTTCATACTCAGAACGGATTGGCAGAATCTATGATTAAACGCATCCAAATTATTGCTCGTACCTTGTTGATGAGATCTAAGCTCACTAGTGTAGCATGGGGCCATGCGGTATTACATGCATCAGCACTAATAAGATTACGCCCGACGGCTTATCACATGCATTCCCCAATGCAATTGATATTGGGCTTTGAACCAAATATTTTACAACACGTTATCGGCACGAGGTTCTTCTCAAATATACCGAAGGATATCATGGGAAGTATGGACAAAAGGGATTATTGTCTACTTGATAGTGCAACAGCGCACACAATTCTGTCTAATAAAATATATTTCTTGAATGTGACAATGTGCAAAGCACAAGTTAAAACCATATCAGGTCCCGTTGAAATTATAGATAGCTCCGGGAATGCAACACTTGTATTGCCTAATGATACCACACTAGACATAGAAAATGCATTATTATCCACTAAATCAAAAAGAAATTTATTGAGTTTTAAAGATGTGAGGCATAATGAGTATCACTTAGAAACTTGTTTTGAATATTCCAAGGAATATATATGTATCACATCATATGATATGAACAAAAAGGTATTCATGAAAAATTTGAAGCAACGACTTCTGGAGTGTATCGTGTCCCAATTCGAGCTTTTGAATCCTACGCCACTATGTCATGGAAACTGGTTAATGCAGATATATTTGGGTTATGGCATGATCGATTAGGTCACCCAGGAACAACGATGATGTGCAAAATTGCAGAACATACTAAATGACATCCATTAAATAATGCAAAAATGTTGATGTCGAAAGATTATTTTTGTGAATCTTGTTCAAGGGGAAAAACTCATTATAAGACCTTCTACAGAAAAGGTTGGTTATGAATCACCATCATTTTTACAAAGAATTCATGGTGATATTTGTGGACAAATACACCCTACAAGTGGACCATTTAGATATTTTATTGTTTTAGTGGACCCATCTTGCAGATGGTCACATGTGTGTTTGTTATCTACACGTAACATAGCTTTTGCACGACTGCTACCACAAATTATTAAACTCCGTGCACATTTCCCTGATTATCCTGTCAAAAGTATAAGGATGGATAATGCCGGAGAATTTACATCAAAAACTTTTGATGATTATTGTGCAGCACTGGGAATTAATGTCGAGCACCCAGTACCATACGTTCATACTCAGAACGGATTGGCAGAATCTATGATTAAACGCATCCAAATTATTGATTGTACCTTGTTGATGAGATCTAAGCTCATTAGTGTAGCATGTGGCCATGCGGTATTACATGCCGCATCACTATTAAGATTACGCCCGATGACTCATCACATGCATTCCCAATGCAATTGACATTGGGCTTTGAACCAAATATTTTACAACACAAATAAATATTATTATTGTTAAAAAATACTTTAGCTCGCAAAATAAAGTAAATTAAATAACCTTAAAAATAGTTAGGAAAAAATAGTTCCAAACGTAGGCGATAGGTCTACGAAGTATGGTTAGTGGGCCCAAAAACTAGAACCCCATCATGCTGTGGATAATTTTAATTTTACATATATATATATAAAAACTATAGAAGAGCCCAAATGGATGAGAATCTTGAGCCAGCCAGCCAGCCTTGATTGGTGTGCCAGCTCCCATCCCTTACACGTGACAACACCAAAACTTTCCCATTTCAAAGATTAGATGTAAGGTTAATATACGGTACTGAGAATTACATAATATCAATTCAACATAGTCATTTAGTGTCCATTTCGATTTGGATGGAGGAGTTTCGAGAATATTTCATATTATCTAGAAAATTCCACTAGATTTAACACCACGATAATGAATGTGTAAGAATATTCATAGTTAAAAAGTGATTGTAATTATCCAAACATGAGAATAATTTAACGGGTGTTTTATATTCTAGTATGAATATAATTAATAAACCTTTTCCTAATTATGAATACTTGTACCTGTAGAGAATTATATTGTTAATTTGTTGTATGAATACGTATAATCTTTTGAAATCTTTTGGCCAAAAGCTTATTTATTAATTAAACTCTCAAATGAGAGTTTGAATAATGGTTCATAGTGGCAAAGATACTTTTTTAACAAATAATCAAATCTACGAAAAATAATGTGTTTAAAGTAAAGGATTTTACAGACCAATTTTTTTTGAAAAATTATCTCATTTTCATTTGAGTTTGTCAAAAAAATTAAAAAGAATCACATTACCGATGAAATTAACAATAATAATAATAATAATAATAATAATAATAATAATAATAATAATAATAATAATAATAATAATAATAATAATAATAATAATAATAATAATAATAATAATAAATGAGCTAGACAAATACCGAAAACGAAATGTTAAATGTCGTTTCAATTTTACTAATGTCGTTTTGACTTCGAACCTCATTTTGACATATTTTTATTTTGATTTTGGCAAACTTCGAAACACAAAAACTGTAGTCATTTGGGTTAACTTTCTAACCAATTTAAATCCGCTAGATTGGATGTCATGTTACAAATTTATGCATAAATGAGTCACATTTTGAATTTTAGATACATCAATACATCAAAGTTGTAGGCTGTATCCATTGATTCATGTATATATTTCTCGTCCGACATCCAATTTTGGTGATTCAAGTTGGATTAGAAAACTAACTCAGAATACCACAAATTCTATTTTTCGGATTTTGCAAAATTTGGAATTAAAAATGATGAAAATCACATTTGAAGTCGTACCAGTATTATTAAAGCTCGAACGGCATTTATCACTTTCCATACCGAAAAATTGAAAACACTCACTATAAAACGCCAACCGTGTCCCCGTATATTTTCTTCATCAACAAGTTCACTAACGTTCTGCTTTATTATTAATTAGCAAATGGCAGAAACAGAAGCCACAGCACCCACTGAACAACCAGTACTACACACACAATTCTTTTTGTTTTTTTTTAATGATTAAATATTTATCTATATTTTTATTTGTAATTTTGTGATTGGATCGTGTGGTTTAATAATATGATCTTGACAGGTTCTGGAGGAGAAGAAGCTGAAATATCTTGATTTCGTCCAATTAGTGACAATATACGTGGTCGTATGTTGCTCGACCATCTATGAATATGCCAAAGAAAACTCCGGTCCGTTGCGAGCTGGAGTTCAGACCGTCGAAGGTGCGGTCAAAGCTGTTGTCGGACCGGTTTTTGAGAAATTCCAGGACGTGCCTTTTCAGCTTCTCTATTTTGCAGATCGAAAGGTTGACGAGTCAATAATCGAGTTGGAATATCACGTGCCGGTTCTTCTCAAGCAGGTTTGGACGGCGGCTCGAGAGCTTGTGTTCGAGGTGCAGCGAGCCGGCTTTGTGGACATCACCAAAACGGCTTACATCAAGTACGAGCCAGTAGCCGAGCAGTACGCAGTCACGGCTTGGCGCTCCCTCAACGGGGTCCCCTTGTTCGCTCAACTGGCTCAAATTATGGTCCCAACCGCTGCTTATTGGGCCGAGAGGTACAACCAAGCTGTGGCTTACACGGCTGAGAGGGGATATACGGTGTCGTATTACATGCCTTTAGTGCCCATCGAAAGAATTTCCAAAACATTTGGAGCAGACGAGAATGTGGCGGCGGATGTTTCGGCCAATGGAGGGGAATGAATATGTGGCCCTCCCCTAACAATTTGGTCATTTTGTTCACTAATACTAAATTTTGTTTTTGGAATTTGGATCTCTAGTACATCCAAAACTTCCATGTTCCATGTGTATTGTTTGTTTCCACATTTTGGTTAAGGGTGTCTCTCCACCTTGTCAGCTTTTCAACTTCAAACCTTTAATAAATTAGTAAAATATGTGTTTTTTGATTTTCCAACCCTTTTTTTTCCCCAAAAAACATTAGCATTCAAACTTCAAATTAAGTAGGGTGTTATTATTTCAATTTCATATCATTCTAATACATAATTTAGACCACCTTTAATACTAAACTCAATTTCTAATGCTTAGAGTGTCACATGGGATATTTAGAGATTTTTGTTAAAAAACCATCTCCAATGCAAATCTTAAGAAAAATCTCCAAATGATGTGGCAATAAGATGACACTTGTGATGTTAGAGATTCTTAACAATGTTAGAAGAACGGGACCGGACCGGCCGGTTGGACTGGTCCGACCGCGACCCGCCACGAAAGCGGTTCGATCTGACGCCGAAAACCGGGATATTCAAGAACCCGGGTCAAATGTCCAAAAACCCAGTTCGACCGGCAAAACCCGGCGAACCCGGAAACCGGTCAGTGACCCCGGTTCTTATCTAAGACACTTCGTCGGTGATTGCTAGTGGCCGGATCTGCACGAAATTCGCCGGAGGTGGCTAGATCTGCACGAAATTCGCCGGAGGTGGCCGGATCTGGGTGGAGTAAGCGGTGGGTAGCCACAAAATCTAGCAGTGGGTGGCGGAATTGGACAAGTTTGGATCGTGGGTGGAACAGATTGTGTTGTTGGATATGGAGTGATAAGAGTGATTAAAGAGAAGAAGAAGAAAATGGAGAAAAAACAAAACTGAAAAAAGAAAACTGGATAAAAAGGGGGAGAGGAGGTAGGTGATAAGAGGAGAGAAGTTGGAAAGAGGAGAGAAGATAGAAAGTAAAAAAAATATATAATAAAAAATTAGGTGTGAGAAATAATAAAGGGAATAGTTTATATATATTTAAAAAGTTAATAATAAATAGAAGAGAGTGTGTAAAATAAAAAACACATACAGAAAATATATATTTAAAATATTAAAATTGATAAAATAATTATAAAAAAAAATCTGAGTCGAACTTGGTTGAACCGGTCAAACCGTGACTCGAATGCCTATCCGGTTTTGTGGCCGGTCCGGTTCTGATAACATTGATTCTTAATATGACCTCTGAAATTGGAATGTCAGAGGATCTCTAAGGTGTCAACTCATATTTAATACATTTTTTATTTTATTTTGCTTTCTATTAAAAAATAAGAAAATTAATATGTCTTCAACCGTCAATTAATTTCATCGGCCTCTCTATTTTTTGTTCCACAAAAACAATTCACCAGCCCCTCTACTTTTATTCCACAAAAAAGAAAAATAAACTCTAACCAACGATTGAAGGAAAACAAACACAAATGATTTCAGAGGAATTCATAAACTCTACTCTTATTTTGCCTTCTTCTACATTATTTTATCAGAATTATATGTTTCTCTGAAGATTCAACTTTCGGGTAAAAACCCTAATTATTTACTTAATCTATTTTAATTTCTCAAACTTTAATCAATTGAATTCATGTGATTTCTCCGACCTAAAAAAAATGAACCATACGCGCAATCTATAGAAATTGATAGTTTGTAGAATATATTTTCATGGTTTAACGAAAAAGGTTAAATGTCAATTTAAAATATGTTCATTAAAATATTTACCCAATGAATGAATAACTTTATTGACATGTACACGTGGGTATCTAATGGCATCGTCTAGTTCATCATCTTCGTCGTCGACGTATGATACATCATCTTCAAGTGACGAGTGTTCATCTTACACACATCACTTCTTAGATGAGATATGATGTGATAGCTCGAGATCCATAGATATTACACAAAGTGTCGCCGAAGCAATTGCAATCTATATTCAACCGATATTGGCAACTACGATAAAGCTAAAGAAACGCCCGCATGGTGGATCTACTCCGGGCAGAAGATATATTCGTCGTGATAGAAAGTCTCGCCACAACATGATAATTAAAGACTACTTCAAATGTGAGGATTCGAAATACACGGCTGATCATTTTCGTCGTTGCTTCCGAATGGATGTTAACCTCTGTACTCGCATTTTGGATGAAATTGAGAAGAATGATGAATACTTTACTAAAAAAGTTGATGCAGTAAAGAATCAGGGGTTGAGTCCACTTCAAAAAATGATAGCGGCAATTCGTATGCTCGCATACGGGTGTTCAACTGATATTCTTGATGAATATGTTCAAATTGGCGAAAGCACAACAATTGAGAGTCTCCAACATTTATGTGATTCCATAATTGCAATTTTTGAAGAAGAGTGTTCAAGGAAACCAAATGAACATGATATTAAAGTTTTGCTTAAACAAGGAAAAGCTCGAGGTTTCTCAGGTATGCTTGGTAGTCTCGATTGCATGCATTGGCATTGGAAGAATTGCCCTACAACATGGCACGACACACGCACACAAATGGATTCAAAAGAGTTCCAACACTCATTTTAGAGGCTGTCGCTTCACAAAATTTATGGATTTGGCATGCATTCCTTGGTATGGCAGGTACCCACAACGATATCACAGTTCTTGATATATCTCCACTATTTGATAATATTGTTCATGGAGTTGATCCATTGTGTAAATTTAAAGTAGACGACAACAATTACGATATGGGATATTACCTAACAGATGGAATTTATCCGGAATATGCTACTCTAATTCAAACCATTTCTCAGCCATCTAGTGTCAAAGAAAAATTATTTGCTAAACAACAAGAAACCGTAAGAAAGGATGTGGAACGCGCCTTTGGTGTGTTGCAAAGTAGATGGCATATTATCAAGGGTCCTTCACGAATGTGAAAGGAGGAGGATCTTGGAAAGATTATAAAGACATGTATCATCTTGCATAGCCAAGGAATCGATCCTGAACGTTGGGAGCCACCTTCAAATGACAACGTTACCAATGTTGAGTTAGTACATGATTCAACATTTCTTGTTTCAAGTATGATTGGTCGAATTAATAAAATTCGAGACACGTGTGTTCATAAGAAGTTAAAGAACGATCTTATTAATCACTTATGGAAAATGTTTGGTGAAGAAGAAATGTAGGGCAAGAATATTTGTTTTATCTTGTTATTTTATTATTAAGTAGAGCATATATATTTTTTATGACATAACGGACCATGATTGTTAGATTTAATTTATTTAGGGTGACGAATAATCGTTTTTCTGTTTATCTCGTTTGTTGATGTTTATGTAGAATTTGTAAAAATAATTTTGACACTGTAATATGAATAATTATGTATGCTATTGAACTGTTTGCTTTGTATATGAGATCTGATTAGAAAATTGTAACATTTTGGAGTCTTGTAGAGCTCTCTGTGTCGATCAATTTGATAGATAGTTGGCACAAATTAGACATGTAATGAATTAGATATGAGTTGTTTTCTTTAACTGCACAAAAACAGAGTCAGCCTATGTGATGCTGCTCAAATGCCAATTGGGCAACCCAAGAGTCCTTGAGCCCACAAAGATAGAGAATGCCGTGAGTCACTGCCACGTGTCCGAGGTAGTTGAAGGGATTGCTCCGTTCGTTAACCTACAAAACAATTGAAACACTAGATGACACGCCGGGTTTGGCCCGGCGATTATCCTCCGACGCTCAAGTCAGAAGATGTATTAATATAAGCAAATAATAACCATTAATTGCCAAATTAGTGTACCTTCTTATGTGAAATGACACATATATTTATAGGTGGATGAATAGGTAGGACTTTTGTAAAAATCCGATGTGGGACAATGTGTTGTCATTTGTAAAGGTGAAAAGGTAATCTAATTGAGTTTTGGCACACAATTAGATTAATTAGACAATTTGGGCCTAATCTTAATTAGGTTAATGGGCCTAATTATGATTAGACACATCATTAAGCCCCCCACTTCCAAGTTGGGTCATGGGTTTGTGAGCCTAGTTGGAAGTAATATATAAGGCCTCCCACGCACTTGTAGGGTTTTTTATTTTTTATTCTTGAGGTTTCTTCTTTCTGAATTGTGCTAGCGAGATTTAAGAATAATTGGCGAACTTCCAAAGGTATAAATTTTATTTTTTTGCAAATCCTCACTTTTTTATTCGAGTCCTTGTGTCGTTGGTTTTACCCGTATTTTGTTGTTTGGAGCCTCGAAATTGCGTTTGATAAAGGCGTAGGAATTTAATGTCGGGTCTAAGGTTGTTGGACGAGTCTAGCGACGAACTATGTGGAGTTCATTCGGAATCCGATAATTTTGAAGATGGGAATTCGAAAAATCTTGATAGCCGGGTTGAAAGAGGTCGAAATTTGGAGTCCGGGAGTACCAATTTTGTGAAATTCGGAGTTGCGAGCGAGAAGTTATGTGCGAAACAGTGTAATGGTTCGTTGTTCAAGGAAAATTCCAGTACTGGCGGCTATGGCATCGAATTCCGTGCCAGAAAGGAGGGGGTGACGTCAGCCCTGGGAGGCGTGACGTCACCGAGCGTGGAAATCCGTGCAGCTGGGCGGTCTGGCGGGTCAACTCGGGCGGATCGAGCGAGTCGGGTGGGTGAGTCGACTCGGGCAGGCGGGTCGGACCGGTCGGGCTGGGCATCTCGGTCGGGTGAGTCGACTCAGTTGAGTGAGTCAACTCGGTCAGGGGAATCGGGCGAGTCAACTCGGGTGACTGGGTTAACTCGGGCGGATGTGGGGTGTGACGTCAGCGTGACGTCACACGGAGCGGGGCCAGGGACTGCCGCGCGCGTGGCGCGCGTGGGCGGGGACCGCCAAGAGCGCGTGGGGCGCGTGGGGCGCGTGAGGCGCGTGGGAACAGCTGCTGGGAGCTGTTCCGCGCGTGGGGGCGCGTCCGGGCCGTTTCCGGCGCGTGTGGAGCGCGTGCAGGGCCGTTCGGAGTCCGTTTTTTCCGCCAAACCCCGTGTTTCAGCTCCCAACTCTGATGTGGGCCCGGAGTTTCGTTCCGTGGAGTTAGAATGTAGCGATCCTGAGACTTGGGCGTGGTCTCGACGGATTAATGTGTTTGGGACGAACTTTTCTCTAAAAAATTCCGTGGTTCGTGGGTCGAAGAGAAGACGTGAATTCGAGGTGGACGAGAGCGTGTTGACCGATGAGGAGGAAGAATTAACCGATTTTTCCGGCGGTAGTGTTTCTGAGGAATATTCAGGAATATGTTCCGAATTAAATTTCGACTCTTCCTTTAGAGTTGGTCAACTGCCTGAGATTCTGGACTATCTACGTGTCGAGCATCTTATTGAGATATTGGTTCCGTGTAAGGGGGAGAGATGTTATGCCCCTCCTGATGGCTACTTTACGGTATTCCTTGCATCATTTTCGGTTGGATTTACTTTGCCACCTCATCCGGTTCTTGTTCAAATTTGTCGAGATGTGAAGGTGAGCCTCAGTCAATTAACGCCGAACGCATTTATTTACTTCAAAGGGTTTTGTCATCGCGCTGAGTCCGAGGGTTTTCCAATTTCGGCGAATTTATTTCACTCCATGTTTCTTGTGAAGCCGCTGAGGGACAAAGCTCCTAATTTTCATTTTCATCCTCGGTCGAAATGCAAGTTTTTGAAGAAAAATGAGAATAAATAGGGGAGTTGGAAGGAGTGGTTCCTATACGTGCGGAATGATTGGGAAGTTCCTTCTGTATGGGGTGAAGTGCGTCCCGTTGAGTGGAGTAATGAACACTCTAGACTCAAAATGGATTGTATCGGAATGGGTTTTTTCGATTATTTCTTCGACCCTTTGACTTTATTTTCTAAAGGTAGAGGAGTTGTGCTGTATTGATTGCTCCGTCCTCTTTCTTTATAGTTTTCTTGAAACTAATATTTTTGTATTTGCTGTTTTCGTGTTCTGCAGGTGAGACGATGAGCTATAATGATTTCAAACGTCGTTGCATGAACAATGGTTCCTCGAAGCCTGTGTCTCGAAACACACCTCCGGCCTCAAGGCCCGTGGAAAGGGAGTCGGGAAGAGGCACTGCAGAGGATCGAAGTAGTGGGAAAAAGCCAGTCCATGGGGTGGGATCGTCACGTGGTCCGGAGGTGGCTGTGAAGAAGAGCGCTGGAGTCTCGGATCCCAAATCCGCCGACAAAGGTCGTCTTGCTATTGTGAGTGCGTCCCCGCTACCTTTGAGCGAGCTCAAGTCCCCCTCCGCGTCCGGGGATACTCGTGTCGCCCCTATCGTCGTGCGTGAAAAAAGGCCTCGCACCTTAGGAGTTGAGGAGTTGGTGTTACCGCCCGTTAATGCATGGAAAGGGAATTTTGTTGCTGGTATTGATAGGACGCAAAATGGTGGTTCGGTGTTTGACGTTCTTGATAGCGCCTTGGCCATGGAGAAGGTAATGGGTTTCCCGACGGAGTTTGATTCGACTCGTCTTGCCGGGAAACCTCTAGACAAGATGATCGAAGGGTTGGCGTCCTCCTTTGCTCGGGTTAGTATCGGATTTATCATGCACCTCTATATTTGATTTATTATTACTATTAATAATAATAACTCCTGCCCCTTTTATTTATTTATTTATTTATTTATTTTTTAGACTATGACTTTCGTGCCCTTGATTATTGATCGCGGGAGGGGCTTGGAGGCTGAGCATGCCAAGATGCAAGCAGAGAAGTTGAACGTTAATTCGTTGTATGCGGGTGTTCAGGGTGTCAATGCCTCCCTTCGCTCAGAGATTGAAGGTTTGAAGAAGTCTCTGGATGAAGAAAAAGGCAAGCTGAGTGCCTTGGAGAAGAAATGTCAGGGCTTGGTGATACGTGCGGATGATGAAAAATCGGCTCGTCTGAAGGCCGAAGCTAGGATTAAGGATCTGAGCCTATCTTTGAAGAATGAGAAGACCGACGCGCTTTCTTTCATGGAAGCCCATAAGGGGTCGAATGACGTCTTGAAAACGCCTTTGGGTTTGATGGTGGTCGACAAGTTCTTAGGGAGCGAATCTTATATCGAGCTGCGGGATAGTTATGTTAGAGTAGGTGACCAACAAGCCAACGTGTGGCTGTGGTCTTTCGTATTTATTATTGTAATAAACGAACCTTTATTCGTATTAATGATAAAACACCTTGGCATTCTATATCTTTGTCCCTTTGTCACAAGCATAGATATAGTCCTTACAGTTATTACAAGTACTAGTAATTGATCGTTAGGATCGTGAGATATTTACTTAAGTATTATAACTGTTAAACGTGTTCCTAGTCGAAGGGTTACGCCACTAATGAGGATATCGGCCTTTCCCATTAAGACTAGCACTTAGTGTATGTGTACTCCATCTCATCAGTTAACGGTATTGTGATATCGGCATGCATAAGTGGGTGCTCGTAAGTTGACGAGTTCACTGAACTCCCTCACCCTAGAAATCTCTAAGTGGTTCCCAATAATCGAGTAGAGATATCTATGGTATAGTTGTACACCATTAGTCCTTATGACCTAGACATCACCGTGACTTCACTAGAGGACCAGCTGTATCGTGACCTGTCTCTGAGTTCCACCGAGGACCATCCCAAGGGCCAGTGTTCGTGCAGTCCAAAATCTAGTGGGAGGTCTGTGCATTGTAGTCGGGGATTCGATCGCTAGAATAGTCTTGGATGTCCTGTGTGTTCTGAAAGTTTGTAATCATTCTAATTCTCTGGCCAGAGCTGACTAAGTGATGATTAGAGAATTCGATTCTCTAAGTCATGCACGTAAGGATTACAACACTTGGAACGATCGCACCGTCATCGAACATATAAAGAGGTCTCGATGAACCAATGCCTCTAGTTCGATCGGGACATATGAATCGAAGGGACCGTACTGTACGTTAACTATATCTGAAGGTTCTTGCAGGCACTTCATTTGTATCTAGGGAATCATGACGCGTAGTTGCTAGACGCCAATCTTGATTCGTTGGGTGATTAAGGTGAAACGAGTTTCATCTTAATCGTAACTCTAAGGGGACGAGTTTTGACCACAAAGGGTTGTGGGCCCACGGCTAGCTTACACCTGAACCATCGAGGGTCACACTGCTCGTGCACATGAGATCTTTGAATAAACGGTCAGAGATAAAATGGTTTATCTTTGCTTGATTGGAAGTCAATATGATTGGGTCCAACATTCGTAATTTGGAATTATGAATGAGAATAAGAAAAGGAAAAGAATAGGCGAAAGTTGTAGTGAACTTTCTAAATCGGGAAGTTTCCAAATTTAGAAAGTGCACTGAACTAGGGTTTCCACTTTTGGAAAGTTGGAAAATGAAAGGTGGCACTCGTAATGACGAGGACATTATAATGAATCCGAATATGTAATTGTTACGATTTTCCGATCATTGAATTGAGAGAGACGAGCAAGTGAAGGAACTAACGAGCTTAAGCTGTTGGGCCCGGTCCAACTTAAGCCCGTTAGGGTTTTATGCAAGGGACTATAAATACATGATTTATAGGCCTTGCACAAACAACACAAACACAACAAACCCTAACCCTAGCGGCCGTCCACCTCTCTCTCTCGGCCACTCTCCCCGCGGCCACCACCGTGCCGTCGCCGCTCCTCCGTCGCCGGAATCGGCCATCTATTGGCCGATCCCTTTCGGTACTCTTTTCTTCTTTCTTTTTCTTCCGTTAATTCTAACTATTACGTGTCTAGTGCCACGTGTTTAGTAGATCGAAGTATACGAGGTGAAATCCGAGAGGAGGAAGATCGAAGATCGAGGAATCGAAGAGCAGCGCACGAGCCGAAGCCGCACGCTGCCCCACGCGCCGCCACGGAAGACCGCGCGTGTACCTCACGCGCCGCCGTGGCCGATTCGCCGCTGCTGCTCCTGCACCGCTGCTGCCCCGATTGTACGGATTGGTTTCCGTAGCAATCTCGACTTGCTAAACGCTTCTACCTCACGCTTCAAGAGGTAAATACACGAAACCCTAATTTCGATTCGTCTACGTTTAAACTATGAATTCATGTTTGCTATCATATGATTTTATGTGATTATGTGTAATCGTTTTAATCTTTGAAAGCATGATTATTGGTTTGAACGCGAGCATGTTAATTGATTTAAATTCGGTTAAATTATTTAGCATGTATGTTGTTTTTAATTTCGCTGGAAGCGCAAAGGTACGCAATTAATTGATTTTAATTTGTCGGGCATGTGCTTGTGTGCTTTAAAGTCGTTTAAATCACATTAAATTTTTGTTTTCCGCTGCGTACACGTGCCCGAAACCCAACAGTGGTATCAGAGCTCGTTGCGCAATTAATTGCGTTCGTTTTAATATGCTATGATTTTATGCATGTTCGATTTATTAAAGTAGTGATTGTCGTATTATGTAATTGGGAGTTTTCGTAAGTTTAAAATATTTTTGAAATATTGTTTAGAATTTTTCCAGCTTTAAAATTGTTTAAAATTGGAAAATCGGATCTGAAATTATTTTTAAAACATCGGTTTTTAATTGTTCGGATCGAACCGGTCGAACCGGCCGGTTCGATGGTTGTGCACGATTTAGTTGACCGAATCCACGTGGATTCGGGTCGGTCAGACCGGTTCTCGGTCCGACTGACCCGGCCCACTGATTTGGGTCAGTTGGACCGGGCAGAACCGGACCGCTTCGGTCCGAACCGGTCAGACCGGTTGGGCCGAACCGGTTCACTGAAAAAAAAAAAAAAAAAAAGAAAATTATTTCAGATTTCTAAAATTAAACTTAAAACAAATTGATTTTAATTTTTGGAAAATTATTTTCAATTAATCCCAATTAGATAATTGGATCGACAATCATTTATTTTAGTAAATAGGTGTTAGATTAATTAATTAATTTAAATTGTTAAATTGATTTCAATTAATAGAACACGTTCAAAATTTTGATTATGGTTCAACTTAATTAGTAGTCCCTCAACATTATTTGAATGATTTATGCTAGTTGAGGTTCTATAATTATTTTGAAAACTCGATAATTAATTAATGTAATTAATTATATAATTAGGTCGTATGTTCCTCTTAGGACAATATGCGCTTCCATATACCTTTAGAGAACATAGATGTAGGAATCACATAGACCAATCCAAAACCTTCTGATGAGATAAAACATTTTAATAAAAATCCCTCATTCTTAATTTAATTAAGAATCATTTCAAGCTATAAAGAAAAACCCAATCTGTTGAGTTATTTCTTTCCTTCTGCCAACGGTTGGATTATGTGTAGCCCTTTACTATAGTGCAGTAAGCCGTGTTAGCGGGGAGTGCTATGGTAGAGTAAGCTGTAATTCAATTGACATAGTGATGAAGGTAGCCGTAGAAAAGGGTTATGTTGAATTAGCGTGGTCGGCTAGATTAACTAGGGACTGCATTAGTTTGGCATAATCAAGTTCTATGAGCGTCTTTGATTGGTAGGTTAGACTTGACACACGACGATTTTGATATTCGCGAGATTAACTTAGGTCATTATCAAGTGTGAGGAAAATCAATTTAGGGTCATATTGTGGATATGATTGATTGTGATCTACCTTTGGGCAAATATAATCGGGCTAGATTAACTACGGGTTATATTTGTCTATTGGACCTAAAGCCCATTAAGAAAAATCAGTTTTCTCGTTTGTCTACTAGAGGGAAGTGGAACTCGATAAAATTAGTGGGAGAACAATTAAATAACATAAGTCCAAACATTTAATTGTAACAATCATTTAACGCGAATCTCTAATAATCCTCTTCTCTATATGTCTCAGATAATTATGTCTAAGAATCCCATAATGTCAATCCTCGACAATAAACTCAATGGCCCTAATTACCTAGATTGGTTGCGTAGTCTTAAGCTTGTGCTAACTGTTGAAGGGCGTCTCTATGTTTTGAACGAGAGGCTTCCCGCCACTATACCTGCCACAGCGACTGATGCTGAAAAGGAAACTTATGAAGTTTGGAAGAAAGATGACACTCATGCTAGGTGCTATATGATAGCCGCCATGGAGCCCGCGCTTGCGAGGAAATATGAGTCTCACTTGCATGCTTTCGATATAAAGGCTCATCTCGATAGCATGTATAGTGAGAATATTAGGGCATCGATGTACGCTGCTACAAAGGAGTTGATCACAGCAAGACTGCGCGAAGGGACTTCGGTCCACGAGCACTGTCTCAAAATGATCACTCTCCTTGAAAAGCTAGTGAATCTTGATGTCACCCTCCCGGCCGAGCTCTCGTTGGATTTGATCCTGTTGTCTCTTCCTAGTTCCTATGAATCGTTCATAGTGAACTTCAACATGAACAAACTAGATCCTCCCTTGGATGAGTTAATGAACATGTTGGTCAGCTTCGATTCCACCATTAAGAAAGAGAAGTCTGTTCTCATTGCTGCTACTTCTGGAAAGAAGAGTTCTTTCCAAAAGAAGAGAAAAGAAAGAGTTCCCTTCCCAAACAGCAAGTTCGAAGTGGGTGAAGGTAGTGGGGGCCCCAAAGCAAAGGTTAGCAAACAAGTTGATGATGCTTGCCATCACTGTGGAAAGAAAGGACATTGGCGCCGCAACTGCAAGGCTTACCTGAAGCAGAAAGGTTCTGAAAATGGTACGTATTTCATTGACGTAAATTTGTCTGTCAACTCTTCTTCTTGGGTATTGGATACGGGCTGTGGCTCACATTTGTGCAATGATTTGCAGCTAATGACAAGAAGTCGAAGACTTAGAGCGGGTGAGACCTACCTAAGGATGGGGAATGGAGCAAGAGTTGCTGCTGAAGCCATTGGCACAATTTACTTAAATGTTTTGGATTCTAGTTTTCCTATTGTTTTGAACGATTGTTTATTTGTTCCGTCGCTCATTAGAAACCTTATTTCTATTCCTGTATTAGATATTGAAGGTTTTACTTTTGTTTTTGGAAATTCGATTTGCATTATACAAAAGAATGAGAATTTAATTTGCAAAGGACGACTATTAAACAACTTGTATGAACTAAATCCAAGTGAAATACCTATTAATGTTATATCAGCAAAACGTAAGGAGATAGATCAAAACCCCGCACAACTTTGGCACGCTAGATTGGGTCATGTCTCTTTAAGAAGGATGAACGATTTTGTTAGTGAAGGATTGTTCTCCTTGGAGGACGTGAAATCACTACAAACTTGTGAATCTTGCCTTAAAGGGAAAATGACCAAGTCACCCTCTACAAAGGGAAAATGGAACGAGCCGAGGGTCCTTTGGATTTGATCCATACAGACGTATGTGGTCCACTAAGTGTTAGTGCGAAGGGTGGATATAACTACTTCGCCACCTTTACCGACGATTATTCTAGGTATGGGTATGTGTACTTGATGAAGTACAAGTCTGAAACATTTGAAAAGTTCAAAGATTTTAGACATGAAGTAGAAAAGCAACTCGGACGAAGTATTAAGAAGCTGCGATCCGATCGTGGTGGAGAATACTTGAGCATCGAGTTCATTGACTATCTAAAAGAAAATGGGATACAATCCCAATGGACTCCACCGGGGACTCCTCAACTTAATGGAGTCTCCGAACGTCGGAATCGAACTTTATTAGATATGGTTCGATCCATGATGGGGTTCACAAACTTACCGGCATACTTGTGGGGTCATGCACTCCGTACTGCCGCGTATTTGCTGAATAGAGTTAACACCAAAGCAGTTAAGTCCACACCTTATGAACTTTGGCATTCCCGGAAACCCAATTACAAACATATTAGGATATGGGGTTGTCCCGCTTATGTGAAGCGGTTAGTGGGAGATAAGTTGGATAGTAAATCCGACTTGTGCTATTTTGTGGGGTATCCCGAAGACTCAATGGGATACGAGTTTTATTATGTCAAAGAAGCAAAGACGTTTGTTTCAAGAAATGCCACCTTTTTGGAAAGGGAGTTTCTATCCGATAGAAAGGGCAGCATGATAGAACTTGAAATAGTTCAAGAACCACAAAGTGAAGTTCAAACGCAAGAACAAGTAATCGAACCAATACAACAATCCACTAATATACCTCCTGAACCTACGGTACGCAGATCCGAAAGAGTTCGGAAAATGCCGGATAGGTTATTCCTCCTCGAAAATGATGAAGATCATGTTGATCTTGGACGAGATCCAAGAACATACAATGAGGCCGTATCGGATGCGGACATGGGACATTGGCTAACTGCCATGAAATCCGAAATGGACTCCATGTACTCCAACAAGGTATGGACCTTGGTAGATCCACCCAAAGGAATTGTTCCTATAGGCTGCAAATGGATCTATAAGAAGAAAATTAGAGTTGATGGAAAGGTATCGACCTATAAAGCTAGATTGGTAGCAAAAGGATACACTCAAAGGCAAGGTGTTGACTATGAGGAAACCTTTTCGCCAGTCGCGATGCTGAAGTCCATTAGGATTTTGCTGGCCATAGCTGCGTGGTACGACTACGAGATATGGCAAATGGATGTGAAGACCGCCTTCCTTAATGGAGATATTGAGGAAGAAATTTACATGGCGCAGCCGGAAGGCTTCATATCTTCTGGAAGTGAGCAAAAGGTTTGCAAGCTCCAGCGATCCATTTATGGATTGAAGCAAGCATCCCGTAGTTGGAACATTAGGTTCGACTCAACTATCAAAGAGTTTGATTTTGAGAAGAATCCGGAGGAACCTTGTGTATACAAGAAGGTTAGTGGGAGGGCAGTGATATTTTTAGTGCTTTACGTTGATGACATTCTACTCATTGGGAATGACGTAGGAATGCTGCAACAAACGAAAGCATGGTTGTCCACACGTTTCTCAATGAAGGATTTGGGAGAAGCATCTTATGTATTAGGAATACGCATCTATAGAGATAGAGCAAGAAAGATGCTTGGTTTATCCCAAAGCCTGTACATAGACACCGTTATGAAACGGTTTAGCATGGAAGAATCCAAGAAAGGATTCTTGCCAATGTCCCATGGGGTTCGTCTCTCGAAATCTATGTGTCCGCAAACACCTAGTGAAATCGAGGAGATGAAAAGGACGCCTTATGCTTCTGCCATAGGAAGCATAATGTATGGCATGCTATGTACGAGACCCGATATTGCGTATGTTGTGAGTGTCACAAGCAGATATCAGTCTAACCCCGGCCCGGCTCACTGGAAAGCCGTGAAAGATATCCTCAAGTACTTAAGAAGGACTAAGGATATATTTTTGGTCTATGGGGGTGCCGAGTTGAAATTAGAGGGTTTCACTGACTCTAGTTTTCAATCGGATGTGGACGACTCAAAGTCGAATTCTGGATTTATATTCACGCTTAATGGTGGTGCCGTGTGTTGGAAGAGTTCCAAGCAAAACACGACGGCCGATTCCACTACCGAAGCGGAATACATTGCAGCGTCTGAAGCTGCAAAAGAAGGGACTTGGATAAGGAAATTCATCCAAGAGTTGGGTGTCATTCCTGATGCTAGTGATCCAGTACCGTTGTACTGTGATAACACCGGAGCCGTGGCGCAAGCTAAGGAGCCACGATCTCATCAGAAGTCGAAGCATATTCTGAGGAAGTATCACGTGATCCGAGAGATCATTGATAGAGGTGAAGTTAAGGTTGAACGAGTCACCTCGGAAGAGAACGTTGCAGACCCCTTCACGAAGCCTTTACCAAGATCGGTCCATGAGAAACATCAAGAGTCGATGGGATTGCGGTTTATGGGTAGTTGGCTTTAGGTCAAGTGGGAGATTGTTAGAGTAGGTGACCAACAAGCCAACGTGTGGCTGTGGTCTTTCGTATTTATTATTGTAATAAACGAACCTTTATTCGTATTAATGATAAAACACCTTGGCATTCTATATCTTTGTCCCTTTGTCACAAGCATAGATATAGTCCTTACAGTTATTACAAGTACTAGTAATTGATCGTTAGGATCGTGAGATATTTACTTAAGTATTATAACTGTTAAACGTGTTCCTAGTCGAAGGGTTACGCCACTAATGAGGATATCGGCCTTTCCCATTAAGACTAGCACTTAGTGTATGTGTACTACATCTCATCAGTAAACGGTATTGTGATATCGGCATGCATAAGTGGGTGCTCGTAAGTTGACGAGTTCACTGAACTCCCTCACCCTAGAAATCTCTAAGTGGTTCCCAATAATCGAGTAGAGATATCTATGGTATAGTTGTACACCATTAGTCCTTATGACCTAGACATCACCGTGACTTCACTAGAGGACCAGCTGTATCGTGACCTGTCTCTGAGTTCCACCGAGGACCATCCCAAGAGCCAGTGTTCGTGCAGTCCGAAATCTTGTGGGAGGTCTATGCATTGTAGTCGGGGATTCGATCGCTAGAATAGTCTTGGATGTCCTGTGTGTTCTGAAAGTTTGTAATCATTCTAAGTCTCTGGCCAGAGCTGACTAAGTGATGATTAGAGAATTCGATTCTCTAAGTCATGCACGTAAGGATTACAACACTTGGAACGATCGCACCGTCATCGAACATATAAAGAGGTCTCGATGAACCAATGCCTCTAGTTCGATCGGGACATATGAATCGAAGGGACCGTACTGTACGTTAACTATATCTGAAGGTTCTTGCAGGCACTTCATTTGTATCTAGGGAATCATGACGCGTAGTTGCTAGACGCCAATCTTGATTCGTTGGGTGATTAAGGTGAAACGAGTTTCATCTTAATCGTAACTCTAAGGGGACGAGTTTTGACCACAAAGGGTTGTGGGCCCACGGCTAGCTTACACCTGAACCATCGAGGGTCACACTGCTCGTGCACATGAGATCTTTGAATAAACGGTCAGAGATAAAATGGTTTATCTTTGCATGATTGGAAGTCAATATGATTGGGTCCAACATTCGTAATTTGGAATTATGAATGAGAATAAGAAAAGGAAAAGAATAGGCGAAAGTTGTAGTGAACTTTCTAAATCGGGAAGTTTCCAAATTTAGAAAGTGCACTGAACTAGGGTTTCCACTTTTGGAAAGTTGGAAAATGAAAGGTGGCACTCGTAATGACGAGGACATTATAATGAATCCGAATATGTAATTGTTACGATTTTCCGATCATTGAATTGAGAGAGACGAGCAAGTGAAGGAACTAACGAGCTTAAGCTGTTGGGCCCGGTCCAACTTAAGCCCGTTAGGGTTTTATGAAAGGGACTATAAATACATGATTTATAGGCCTTGCACAAACAACACAAACACAACAAACCCTAACCCTAGCGGCCGTCCACCTCTCTCTCTCGGCCACTCTCCCCGCGGCCACCACCGCGCCGTCGCCGCTCCTCCGTCGCCGGAATCGGCCATCTATTGGCCGATCCCTTTCGGTACTCTTTTCTTCTTTCTTTTTCTTCCGTTAATTCTAACTATTACGTGTCTAGTGCCACGTGTTTAGTAGATCGAAGTATACGAGGTGAAATCCGAGAGGAGGAAGATCGAAGATCGAGGAATCGAAGAGCAGCGCACGAGCCGAAGCCGCACGCTGCCCCACGCGCCGCCCCGGAAGACCGCGCGTGTACCTCACGCGCCGCCGTGGCCGATTCGCCGCTGCTGCTCCTGCACCGCTGCTGCCCCGATTGTACGGATTGGTTTCCGTAGCAATCTCGACTTGCTAAACGCTTCTACCTGACGCTTCAAGAGGTAAATACACGAAACCCTAATTTCGATTCGTCTACGTTTAAGCTATGAATTCATGTTTGCTATCATATGATTTTATGTGATTATGTGTAATCGTTTTAATCTTTGCAAGCATGATTATTGGTTTAAACGCGAGCATGTTAATTGATTTAAATTCGGTTAAATTATTTAGCATGTATGTTGTTTTTAATTTCGCTGGAAGCGCAAAGGTACGCAATTAATTGATTTTAATTTGTCGGGCATGTGCTTGTGTGCTTTAAAGTCGTTTAAATCACATTAAATTTTTTTTTTCCGCTGCGTACACGTGCCTGAAACCCAACAAGTTATGCTAGTGGGTTTTTTGCGGAGATCGTGCGGGATATCCGCGGTCAAGTTCGTGGTACGAAGCTTGTCCCAGAGGCTATCCTACGGGAGATAGAGCCGAGCGTTTTGGAACTTGAGCCAGAAATTGGGGCGGAGAAAATTGGCGCCCTGGTTGAGGGTGATGAGTTTGATGAGATGCCCGAGTCTGCTGGAGCTGAGAATGCTAGCGTTAACCCGACTGCCTTGTAGTGCAGTCGTTTATCAGTTTCTACTCGCTTGAGAGTAGTAGTATTTTCCTTTATGACTTATTTCTAAGACTTTAGTCTTTTCTATGTTTTTTTATTTGCACGTTTTTGCCTTATGAATGGAATTTTACTTTTGTTTTATTCCCATTTCGCAATTTTCGTGCTTTTTTGGTACTTAGTGGATGATCAGTCCCCTAAGTTTTTATGTAGGGGCTCCGCATTTTTGCCTTCTTTTCTTAATTTAGGGCTGCGGAGTCCTTGAGAATTTGATTTCTCTATCAACTTGTGCTTTGGGGAGTGAGATAACAAAGTTCGAGTTGGCCAGACCCTTGTGATCCTTGTTATCTTCCCCTTTAGCAAGGACTTTTTTTTTTTTTTTTTTTTTTTTTTTTTGGTTTGGGAGTCGAGTGGTCACCCCTTTGATTGAAGCACTTCATAGTAATAATAATAAAAATACTAATGGAATTTCAATAGAATAAACAAAAATTAATTGTCATGACACAAAGGAAAACGGTCGCAGATTAGAGTGGGCGGTATGCCTCAAGCGAAAATGTTTTATTTAGCTTCATGTGGCAAACGATATGCTGCCAACTTATTACATAATTTAAAAGCGTTGCGGCGAGCGGTATGCTCCCGACTTATTCCCTAGCTTAAGCATTACAGCGAGCGATATGCTCCTGATTTATTAAAAACAAAGAAAAATTGCTCGCCCAAAGTGCTAAGCGAAATACTTCTTCAAATTCCCTATGTCCCAAGTCCTTAGAACTTGATGGCCATCCATGTGCTGAAGCCGGTAAGCTCCGGCGTTGACCACTTCAGTAACTTTGTAGGGTCCTTCCCACTTTGGATCCAACTTTCCGACAGCCTTTGAAATCCCGACTCTTCGGAGTACCAAGTCTCCTACCTGAAATGATCTTGGTTTGACTCTTTGGTTATAGGCTCGCGCCATTCGAGCTTTGTAAGCTTCCATTCGCATAATAGCGCCCTCTCTGACCTCGTCCACAAGATCCAAACTTGCCCTTATTGCCAGATCATTATGCTGGATTGAGTAATTGGATATCCGCCATGACGGTTGCCCTATTTCAGCTGGAACGACGGCTCCATTCCATAAGCAAGATTGAAAGGTGATTCACCGGTGGAAGTTCGGGGAGTTGTACGATAAGCCCATAAGACACTAAGGAATTCCTCAACCCAGGCGCCCTTTGCTTCTCCTAATCTGGCTTTGAGGTGTTGCAAAATTGTGCGGTTTGTAACTTCGGTTTGGCCGTTAGCTTGCGGGTTTCCTACTGAAGTGAAGAATTGCTTGATTGATAGTCCTTCACACCAGTCCGCGACCTTGCTTCCGCAGAATTGAGTTCCATTATCTGATATTAGGGCTCGTGGTATCCCAAATCGGCATACCACATTCTTCCATAGGAACCGAATGACGTCGGCCTCAGCTATTTTAGCCAAGGGCTCCGCTTCCACCCACTTGGTGAAATAGTCAACTGCTACGATTAAGAATTTGCGTTGTCCACTAGCTTGTGGGAATGGCCCAACCAGATCTATCCCCCATTGTGCGAAAGGAACTGGGCTGTCAATTGGTTGGAGAAGAGATCCAGGTACGTGAGTAATGTTGGCGTGTATTTGGCAAGCTCTACATTTCTCCACTAATTCTCTAGCGTCTTGACGCATAGTTGGCCAGAAGTATCCTTGACGTAACACTTTGATGGCTAGTGCTCGCCCTCCTAAGTGGTTCCCACAAATGCCTTCATGAATTTCACGGAGAACATATCTTGCTTCGTCCGGTCCGAGACATCTTAGGTAAGGTACCGAGAAACCTCTCTTGTATAGCTCATCCCCGATAAGTAGGAATCGAGCGGCTTTTATTTTTAATTTCCTCGCCACTGCTCCGTCTTGGGGCAATTCTGACGTGGAAAGATATTTTATTATCTCGTCCTTCCAACACGGAGTGTTACTAGTACAGAGGATTTGTGTGCCTGTTTCTATCTCGGGTTTGGCGGAAGAGAGAAAAGTGATCTTGCGACTGTCGAGCTTTGACATGGAACTCGCTAAGCGAGCCAATTTGTCTGCCATGGCGTTTTCGGCTCTAGGTATTTGCCTGACTTCCACCTTCTCGAAACTTTCCATGAGGCGTTTGACCAACTCGAGGTACTTAATCATACTTTCTTCTTTGGCTTCGTATGTGCCTAAGACTTGGTTTACTACTAGTTGGGAGTCACTGTGTGTAACCAACTTCTTAGCCCCGGCTGCTTGAGCTAACTTCAATCCGGCTACAAGGGCTTCGTATTCCGCTTCATTATTTGAAGCTGAAAATTCTAACTTCAGTGCGTACTCCAAAGCATCGCCTTCGGGACTTGTGATCCAAATTCCTGCTCCACTACCCCCCGTGGTAGATGAACCGTCTACATAAACTGTCCACGTCGGTGTAGAACATGTAGATTCGTTAAAAGTCATTTCGACGAGAAAATCAGCAAGGACTTGAGCTTTGATTGTCGGGCGTGACCGGAACTCTACCCCATACTCACTCAGTTCGATCGCCCATTTGGCCATCCTCCCCGATGTTTCCGGACTTTGGAAGATTTGTTTAAGGGGGAAATTTGTCAACACCACTACCTGGTGTGATTGGAAATAGGGCCGAAATTTTCGCGCTGCCGTGATTAATGCCAAGGCCAGTCGCTCTATGTTTGAATATCTCTGCTCGGCTCCCCGTAGGGCGCGACTGACGTAGTAGATGGGTTGATGCCCTCTTTCACCTTCGAGTACTAAGACCGCGCTGATCGCCTCTGACGTAGTTGCTAAGTACAATAAAAGTTCGTCTCCTTCCCTTGGTTTGGTCAGGAGGGGAGGTGACGCTAGGTATTGCTTCAGTTCCTCGAATGCTTTTTGGCACTCTTCCGTCCACTTGAAATTCTTCCCCTCTCGCAGCACTCTGAAGAAAGGAAGTCCTTTGTCTGCTGAACGGGAAATAAATCGATTCAGTGCCGCTAAACAACCGTTTAATTGTTGGACATTTTTTATGGATTTAGGTGGGGCCATGTTGATCAGGGCGTCAATCTTGGCCGGGTTTGCTTCAATTCCTCGTTGCGAGATCATATAGCCTAAGAATTTACCGCCCTTCACTCCGAAGGAGCATTTCGAAGGATTTAGTTTCATTTTGTATTCTCTGAGAATAGCGAAGCACTCTTCGAGGTCCTTCAAGTGGTTTTCGGCCTTAGCGCTTTTAACTAACATATCATCGATATACACTTCCATGTTACGCCCAATTAGATCAGCGAACATGGTGTTCACCAGTCGTTGATAGGTTGCTCTCGCGTTTTTGAGGCCGAATGGCATTACCTTGTAGCAATAAATGCCTTGGTCGGTAATGAAACTCGCTTTCTCTTGGTCCTCAGGGGCCAGTTGGATCTGGTTGTACCCTTGGTATGCGTCTAGAAAGCTTAACAACTCACATACTGAGGTAGAATCCTGTTAAGTGTATATTTATACACTTAATTGTACCTTTTAATTGGAGCTTTTGATGTGTTTTTACGATAATTGGTGCTTAAAATGGTTATTATTTGTATTTTAGGTGCAAATTGAAGAATTGTCAACTTTTGGGGTCAAAACTGCAAATTCAGAGAAAAAGTGGGCCAAAAGTGAAATAATCAGAATTCTGAAGAACAGAAGGCCGCGCGGCCGTGCGGGTTTTAAGCTTATTTTTCACACGGCCGTCCGGATGGGCGTAGGGGCGCAGTGAAGGAAGTTTAATTACACAAGGAAACCCGCCCTATTATATTTTTGCACCCTATTTAAAGGCCACAAGCACACAGTTAAAGACATCTTGGATCTTTTACCTTTTATCTTTATTTTTAGTTTTTATCTTTCATCTTTCTACACGCGATCAAGGAGCACAAGAACGAAGACGAAGACTTGACGAATCTTCATCCTAGTTCTCCTCTTTGATTTTTATTTATAGTTTTTATGATTTTTTCGTATTTTTATTATGCTTTTCGTAACGAACATGAGTAGCTAAGTTTTTATTCTAGGATTTTGTTGGAACCCTATGTGGTAATTCGAACCTCTTTTTCTACTTTTATGCAAGTTTAATTCTTCGATTATTTCTTCTATCTTGATCTTATTTAGCGCATGAACGTAGCTAATTTATGTTGCTATTGGTTATTGTTAGAATTGATTGACAGATCGTTTTAATAATTAGAACAGGGATAGAAGAGCCTTCGAGTAGTTTTTCACCGAATGCGTGTGTTGATTGCATGTATTATCGTAGACATACAGATAATACCTTAGGTAGCCGTTGTCGAGACTTGTTATTTAATGCTTTATTTATACTAGATTTGCATAGACATATAGTGAATCTTTTATGAATAATAGGCTTATAGCACAGCGACAGCTGGTTATGAGTAATTTCGTGTCTTGGGTTAATAATCGGGAATCGTAACTTGCATGATAGGAGATTAATTGGGTGAAGAATTATCGCATAGGGGGAAGATAAAATCCTAGATCTGTTTTATATTGATATTTTCTCGTGATTAATTGCTTTCTTAATTATTTTAATTTAATTAGTTAATTAATTTGACAACCTTGCGTAGGCTGGATAAAAATCGTAATTGTTAAGATTTGGTACTTAGGATTAAATAATTTGCGTATTCCCTGTGGGATCGACATCCGACTCTCACGAGTCTACTTTACTACTTGTTTGCGATACGTACACTTGCGTGTTGGTATTTAGCATCCAACAAATCCACCAGCTGATCGATCCTTGGGAGAGGGAAAGGATCCTTAGGACAAGCTTTGTTCAGGTTAGTGAAATCCACACATAAGCGCCATTTTCCCCCTGATTTCGCCACTAGGACAACGTTTGACAACCATTCGGGATATTGAACCGGGCGTATCTGACCAGCCGCAAGGAGTTTGTCGACCTCCTCTTTGATGTGTTTATTACGTTCCGGACCAAAAGTCCTTTTCTTTTGTTTTACCGGCTTGAGTTTCGGGTTAACGTCAAGCCGATGAACAATTTTAGATGGAGGAATTCCTTCGAGATCTTCCGCTCTCCATGCAAAAACATCACCGTTTTTCCGAAGGAACTCCACGAGCCTTGTTTCTGCTTCGGGCTCAAGGTTGGTTCCCACTCGGAGTAGTTTATCTTGATCGCTCGGGATCAACTCTACACTTTTCAGTTCTTCTACTGCTGCGAGTCTTGTGCTATCGGCATTGGTCGAGGGAGTGATGAAGTCGTCTTTGACAGCCATCACCCATTTTCTCTTCAGATAATTGGGAGTGTCATCTCCTCCTCCCACTTGCTTTGTGTTCCGAACCTGAGGTGCCTTCAAAGTGTTCCCATAGCATTCTCGAGCTATGCGTTGATCGCCTACGGCTTGTCCGACTCCGCTAGCCGTAGGAAACTTCAACTTCATATGATAGGTTGACGGGATTGCTCTGAAAAGGTTCATACTCGGCCGCCCCAAAATGACGTTATAAGTCGACGGTGCTTTGACGACTAGGAAGTTGACCGTGTTTGTCGCTCGGCACGGGAATGATCCCAAGGACAAGACTAAGGAAATTTCTCCCACAGCTTCGACGGCGTGTCCCGTAAAACCTACTAGGGGTGTTTTCACAGGCGCGAGTTTTGCATTGGCAATCCCCAGTTTTTCGAAGGCGTCGTAATATATAATATCAGCCGAGCTACCACCGTCCACCAAAATCTTCTTCACCAAATAATTAGAAATTGATGCAGAGATGACTAAAGCGTCGTTGTGTTCACCACGTGGTCCTCTGAGATTATCGTCGCTAAATGTAAC